CAAAAAAATATTATTTATTTGAAGCGACTTATAATAAATATTGTAAAAATTGTATGCTCTTCTAATTTGAGCTAGGAACTTCCGTCCAAAGTCCATGACATGGAGAAAACAATTTTTTTTTTCTAATAAAACTTTTTTTAAGGCAAAATATTTTATTAGCTAAATGGTAATATTAAACGTTGCATGTGGATTTACCGTCATAAATTTCACGCTAATGGGAGTCTTGAGTGATACAAAGCACGCTTGGTCATCAATGGAAATCTCAACAAATTGGAATAGACTGTCATGAAACATTCATTCCTGTCGTGAAACCTACCACTATTCAGACCGTTCATAGTCTTGTTGTATCACGATCATGGCCTATTCATCAACTCGATGTAAAGAACGCGTTCTTACACGAGGACCTCAAAAAGAAACTGTGTATATGTTCTAGCCTCCCAGATTTGTAGATAAGCAAAACCCAACCCATGTATGTCGATTACAAAAATCACTGTATATGGGCACAAGCAAGCCCCACAGGCATGATATCATCGGTTTGACACATACATTCAAACATGTGGGTTCAAAAGCACTAACAATGACACTTTCCTATTTGTTTTCCAACACAATGCAACAATGGTGTATCTCCTTCTTTATGTCGATGACATCATCTTGACTTCATCTGACACCATTACTCTTCGGTACTTTATTGATCTTTTATCCAAAGAGTTTCAATGTCTGATCTTGGCCCTCCTAACCACTTCCTTGACATTCAAGTTCAACAAAAAAATGGATGATTATTTCTTTCACAGGAGCAATATGTTAATGACAATCTTCATAGGGCCAATAGGAAAAATTGCAAACCATGCGCTACACCCATAGACACCAACTCTAAGCTTAGCGCCACCATCAGCAACCCAATGTAAGATATATCTGATGGGTTTTGGTCCTAAGAACATCCTATGTGCTCATACAAACCCTAAAGCTTGGATCTAGGTTTCTCTATTGTACATGCAAGTTATCCAAGACTATAAACCCTAATTCTAGCATTCAAATAATCATATTAACATGAGAATAGGTTTATAATGTTACCTTTATTGTTATGTAGCAATAACAATCCTAAATCTCCTTGAATTGACTTTGGAAGGCTTAGAGTCACAAGTGACACTCCTCTAATGGTTCACAAACACGATAAGCAAGAGGATGAAGAGGAGAGAGGTTGGAGGTTGCCCAAAAACGTGTGAAACCCTAGAAAGATCATTAGCCACGTTTTTGGGTCATAAGGGTCTTATATATAGTAAGGCTATTAGGGTTATCTAACAAGGAAACCCTAATTTGGATGCTTAAGCCCTAAGCAACCCATGAAGCCTTTTCCTTAAGGCCTTGGACGATTTCATATGGGCTTCCCCATAGAATTCGTCCACCTTATCATATAAGGCAATCCATGGCACAAATTGTAATTATCTTATAATTATAATTCCAGTCCCTTAAGTTTAATTAATCTCTTTTAGTCACAAAACTAATTACCAATTAATTATTGACTAATATTAATTAAACAATATGATTTCTCCTTTAATATATTATTCTCATAATATATTAATAAATCATATTTAATCATTTCTCTCCATAATTCATCCTATCAAGTTCCTTTGGTGAAGGCAACCCAAAAGGACCATGCACCATCGGGTCAAGTACATACCAAAATAGTTATGGACTTGGATACTAATCCAACAATATCTCTATACCGTAGCCTCGTCGGAGCCCTCTAATATTTAAAATTTACCCGCCCGAACATTGCCTACACCGTTCACCAAGTCTGTCTTTTGATGCATGCACCACAAGAACCGCGCTACAATTTCTTAAAATGCATTCTGAGATATCTAAAAGGCACCACCAATCATGTCCTCCACATCAATCCCTCCAAGTCTACTAAACTTACCGCTTACTCTGACGCAGACTGGGGGGGGGGGGTTGTCCGGACTCATGCCGCTCCACATCTGGCTATTTTGTAATCCTTGGCGACAACCTTGTCTCATGGTCATCCAAACGATAACCTACTATCTCCCGGTCAAGTGCCAAAGCTGAATATAAAGGAGTCATAAATACATCAACTGAAACAACATGGCTTCGCAACCTTCTTCTCGAACTCCGTCTCCCACTGCGCCAGACCATAATCATCTACTGTGATAACATTTCAGTGCTCTACCTTACACAAAACTTGGTTTAACATCAACGCTCCAAACATTTTGAAATCGATATCCACTTTGTTCGAGAAAAAGTACATATGGGTTCCATACGTGTCCTTCACATCTCAGCAAATTACCAATATGTAGACATTTTTGCAAAGGGATTGCCACGTCAACTCTTCACCTGTTTCTGCTGCAGTCTCTCTATTCGACCATCTACATATTCTACTGCGGGGGAGTATTAGCGAGAACTATTTTAGACATAAATTTAGCATACTTATGTTGTATATTTTGTATTTGCTATACATTATATGTTCCTTATTTAGCACTTTAGGTGGTTAGACTTCCCTAATTACCCCCTTGTAATCTTGTATATATAGTGGCTCATATCAATGAAAGAGGCATGGAATCTCAAACAATTATAGAAAATACCCTCTAGCAAGATTAAGACACAATCTGTCTTTAAGGTAGAGTTACACAAATGGTCCTTGATTGAAATGGAAATTACATCGATGGTCCTTGTTTTGAAGTACATTGCTATATATATGAATATTATTTTATTTTTCACAAAAGAACAAATTCACATACATGTATACACAGTGACAACAATGGTACTGATTCAAAAATAAATTTACATAAATGATCCTTTTTGAAGTATGTTGTTATAATTCATAATTAGTTTTTAACAAAATACAGTTACATAGACACACAAATAAACATACACATATACACAATAACTCATTGTTACGTACAAACAATCATACACACGGTTGTGTTAACATTTTCACTAAAATAACAGAAATGGTAGTTACATAAATGGTCCTCTTGTGAATTTGTTTTACATAAATGGTCCCTATTTTAATGTACATTGTTATAAATATGAATATTATTTTATTTTTCACAAAAAAATCAGTAATTCACATACACACATACACAATGATATAAATGGTATCGATTTAGATAGAAATTACAAAAATGATCATTTTTTAATGAAAATAGTTGGTATTGGAATAACCTTGCCCTTTTTACTATAAATTTATGTTATTATATAAATAACTATAACTTTGATAAATTTGTCTAAAAAAACTAGATTGGGAAAAATTAATCAACATGCATAGAAAATGGTTTCAAAATTCAAGAGACTGGTAAAGTGACATTACTTGAAAGTTAAGTCAAATTTGTGTTTATTACACTGACTCCCAATTGCTCTCCATATACAGTTATCTAACTCAATTTTCCATGATAAAAGGGGCACATTTCACTCATTTAAGTCTTGTAAAACTTCTGCCAACACCCAAAAGTTACAAAACGATAAAGAGAATTCAAATTCTATTAGTGATTAGACACCATATGACACTATTTAATATTTTACAAATGATAATTGCAAAATTTTGAAATCTTTTTAGGAAAATACTACATTGTCAGCCCTATTTCCGGATTATTATTTAAAATTTCACATCTAATCCTATTACCTTTTCTCCGTATACATAATAATTACCTAGGAACCATAAAGATGGATATCTCAATTTGAGGATTCCATAGATAACTGTTTTCAACGAATCTCTTTCACATTTTTTGTAATTGTAAGCTCTTGGTACAGTTAGATGTATTTTTCATGTAAACCAACAAAAGAATTCAACTTTTTGTACAAATTAAATACAAAGCATGATAAATGTGTTATAAAGCAAAACTATTTGCATAATTAAATAAGAACCCATGAAAAGTAGAAAAACTAAATATCTGATAGTTTATTCTTGTCCCAAGATGAAATAATGAACGCTTAAAGTCATTAGCAATTTTGTGAACAAACAAAACATCTAGCCTTTTACCAAGAGCCTCATACACATTTGGTTTAATGTTGCCACGTGTGAGTGTCACTTTATATCTTTCTAGACTACGATTAGTCTTCACATTTCATTTATCCATTTGCATCCATGTCTCATTCTTCCTTAGAGCACTCACATTGATCCATTATCGCTACTTCTCATTTTGGATCCTCTGGTGCTTCTGAAATTTTCTTGGAGATTTTTGATGTAATTATTTAATGACTTTGAGAGAGACATAAATGGATGGTTAATGCAAGAGCAAGTTCTTTTTCTGATTGCAATGGGAATATCAAGATAAAAGTTTCAGTAAATTCAAGAGGAATAAGGAAATGAACATTATAAGGATGCCTGAAGTGGTGTTAACAGGTGCATTGGATTTCCTTGGTGCCAAGGGAATAGTTAGCTCTCTACTCTTTTGGTTGCCCCTCATTAGTCAAGTGGTACAACCAAACCAAAGACCTTTTGAGGCAAATGTGAAAGAAAAATAGTATGAGCACTGGGAACTGCAATTTTAAGACTATCAGGTGGAGTAATATAGTCAAGAAACTGAGTTATTAACACGATGCTAGCAATTTTAAGCAGCTAAGTAACCACTTTTTCTAGAAAAAATATTTTGGATCTTTAATCAATATATGAGTTAGATGTAACAGCCATGAAGGTTGATATGATCTTGAGTCTTCACCAATAAAAAGATACATTCCATGTTATGATTCAGGGAGGGAACAACCTTATTAGATAAGCAAAAGTAGGATGCTCTAGTCTATCGTTTATTTGTTTCTTAAATCTTAATACTTAATATGAATAGAACCAATTGCATGTCCTAAAAAAGGCATGTTTTGTCGAAGGTTTATCTTGTGTCAGATATTTGTTTTCTTCATCCTAAATGTCCTTGTGGTCTTTATAGTTAGAATCAAGTTTTGGTACATGAATAAATGAATAGATAAAGGGATAAAAGTATTTGATAAGTTTTTTAAACTTGTACTTACTGCAATTGTCTCATTGATAAGGGATGAAGTTGGATATTCTGCTCAAGGTCAAGGGAATCAGACCTGATGTAAGAAATGTGAGCAGAAAGAAGTTGATGAAGATTTTACATATAAACAAGAGAATTAAACTAGGAATGAGGAAACTAAGCTTGCTATTATTATGTTATTGATTTCAGGAGAAAACGCAGATGACATCAGTGGACCGAATGGCTAGTGCAAATATTCCATATTTGCCTGCTATGGAGCAGACCCGAATGCTAGCACACACTTTAGCTCAGAACACCAATCCAAAGTTTCAGGTTACTTTACTTACTTTGAATTAAAATGTCTTTTTTTTTATAATCAGGATATCATTTATTTGGTTTGGTTTGGCAAATAATATGTAGAAATCCAAGTTACTTCATTTTGTTTCAAAGATGAGTTGTGTGGAATTGAATATTGAGGATAACCAGGTCAGGCCTGCAAGTGGGGACTAGGCAAATGAATATCAACAACAATATAATGCAGGCCTTTCCTCTAATCTTATCAACAGGTATCCAATAATTAATGTGTATGAATGTGATGGACAAAAATATTTCATTTTCAACTAGTGCTTATGTGCCAAGGCAGCCTTCTAGGTCTGGTGGTATGTTTTATGCTGATTAATTAACTGATAAAAAGGAAAGTAAATCTGATTTTTATAAGGTTTTGACTGATAATTCTTCTAGTTCTAAAGTAACTAACTTATTCTAGCATACATTTTATAAATTTTGCATGAAAATGATGAAATATATTATATAAATGATTTGCATGATTTTGCTTGTGAGATTATTCACTCAGATTACTGTCAAAGAATGTTGTAATGAGGATGCACAATTTTCATTTGTTGTTGACAAAATATTAGAACTCACTTGTTCATTTGTCAAAGGCACTTTTGGAGAGATTATCTTATTGCGTGTGATATTTGAAAATGAATTGAATTGTGGTCTGGTGGTTTTCTCTACAGATTGAGTGTGATATTTTGGAATATGTTGTGATCGAGTGGCTTGTACAAGGGGGTCGTGAAAAGCTAAAAGATGACGGCCTAAACTTATCAATCTGGCTTCAGTCTTTGGCATCATTTTGGAATTGAGATAACTGTTTTTAGATTTTACTTATGAGTTAAAAAATTCCAAAAACTTGAGAAGAAATGTCTAAGTATTGCTAGCATTAACTACCAGATAATGAACGTAACCTTGTTTAATCTATATTGGAAATTTTGTAAAATCATCACGCGAATACATATCCCAAAATTGTGAATATGGATCTCATATTCAAATATTTGTGAATACGGCTAGTTATTAAATGAAAAAGATTATTCAACCTTGTAGATGGACACTGAGGGGCATGAAGTTGTGGAGACTCCGTTTCTTGAGATTCTTGTTGCTGGAGGAAAGGTTTGTAAATTAAAAAGATGATCATTTTTTTTGCATGTAGTTTGTGACTATTGTAATATAAGTCAACACAGTTTTGATCTATGAATGTAATATAAGTCAACATACTTTGATGATTTTGAATTTTTTTTTTGTTCTTTTATATATTTATAGATGAGTATCAGCATGTCAAGAAGTCACTTTAGATGAAGAAGCATATGAGTCACCCATTTTGCACTCATACAGGTAGCTCCATTGTTCCTGGATATACACCGAGACCATTTTGCACTCACACAGGTACAATTTTACCCTTACTTTCCATTCCAGTAAAACTTTTTTTTAACAATATTCATCAATTTTAATAAGGGAAAATTGGTAAAAGGTTGGTCTGTGTGTGTTATCCAGTTCAAAAAAATGTAGATTGCTATTTCTTGTAACTAGTTCTAATAAAATGGTTATCTTAATTTACTTTTTTTTTTTTTTTTTTTTTTTTTTTTTTTTTTTTTTTTTTTTCCTTTTTGATGAATTTTATTTCAGAAATACATAGAATGGGTTGGATATCTTGATGAATTGTCTCCACGTGTGCCATTATACAAAGTAATGGAGGGAAATGAACCTTCTTTCTTCACAACATACTTCTCATGGGATCCTTCTAACCCATCAGTGCTGTTGGTGATTGGCTTAAAGTAGTGGAAAACAATTTTCTTTTTGTGGGTATGTGATACTGGAAGACTTAATTTCAAATTATGCAATGGATTCTATTTTTTGCAATGGAATTGTATTTTTTGCAATGGAAAACTATTTTTTTTGTATGAAATAGAATTGTATGACATTAAATTTTATGCAATGGATTGTATTTTTTGTATATGATATTTTATTTCTATTATCATACATTAAATGCAAATTTAATTTAAAAATTAATAAATATATAAATATATATTTTTTAAACATTTAAAATTATGATACGCAAAAATATGTGTCATCTTCATTTATGAAATGGCCTTTCTCGACAGGGGCTTTCTTGATACGCATTGTGTGTCATTAACACGCATGTCATAAGGTTACGACACGCAAATGCGTGTCGTCCTTCTTTATGACAGGGCCTTCCTTGATACACATTGCGTGTCGTAAACGCGCGTCGTAATTGCGCATTGTAAATGAGCATCGTAAATGCACGTCGTCGATAGACGATGCGCAAAAGCACGTCATCTCTTTTTATGACAGGGCCTTTCTTGAAGCGCATTTCGCGTCGTAGGAAGTTAAGAGATTAGGGTTGTCTAAGATACACCTGCCTTATCCTAAACCTTCCTTATCACCTATATAAACCCTATAGCGTTGGATTTCGGGGAAGGCACTCCAAGAGAGGCTTAGAGACAAAATTTCCACTTCCCTTCTCTCTCCATAGTAATCCTTGGTTTCTAGGTTTATTTGTGAGCCATTAGAGGCGCGACACTTGTGACGCTTGCTTTCAAAGACAAGAAGATTCAAGATTTAAGTTGTTATTACAATATAACAACAAGAGGTATGTATTTCATCTTTCTTTGCGAATTTCGAAATCCCTAGAGTCTTGTTAGGGTTCTTCACATGTTCATAGTGTTGTATAACTAATAGTGATAACATAGATCCAACTCTAGGGTTGCATGCACACATAAGATTGTTTGTATAAAAATCATCAGTCCAATCATTTGCTATCTCCACATCCAGTTGGCAATCCAGCTCCCCTGGAGCCCCTACAATCGCTTGCTGAGCGTGAGCAACACAAAAGATCACGTGGCATCCAAATCAAACATTACCAGAATACATATACCGTTCACAAGGAACTATCCTATAACAAAACACATAAACATAAGCAATAATAAATATAAATATAGAGATAAGGAGTAGGTACATACCTGTATCGACATCAGGAGCTGCACGTGCCTGCTCTGCTATTAAATGGAAGTCTCTACTCTTCGCCACTGACACCTCTGCACAGCCTTGTCGGCCACCCGTAATCCTTAATGTAGTAGGAGCAGGTGCCACGACCTGTCCTGCTGCTACCAAACTCGGACATTGGGACCGCTTGTGGCCCCTATGATTGCACTGAAAGCAAATCAGATCAGATGTTGTAGTGGTGGTGGTGGTTGTATAGTCCATGCTCAAATGAACAGTTCAGCCAAACTTCAAGCAACCAAACCTACCTGCCCTACACGTTCAATCGTGCCCCATACTACACTTGCTGCAGCGGCCTCGGCCCAACTGGCCCTTCCCTCGGGAAACTGTCTTGGGCTTCTTACCCAAACCCTCCATACTAGGTGTCGCATTTGGTTTCCTCTTCCTCTCCATCTCTAGGTTAATCTCCCTTTCTCTATCTCTGGCAATCATATCCTCCAGTATCTTGCACCTGGAGCGGCTCACAAACTAGCCTATATCACTCCGCAACATCTCGTGATATTGGGCCTTTTTCATCTCCTCGTCTGCCACATACTGCAGAATGAGAAGGGACCTCTTCCTAAACTTAGCAGTGATTTCCATCACTTTCTCAGTAGTCTACTGTAAATCCTAGAACCCCCTAGCAAACGGTTGTACCTCTATCAGCAATGCAAACTCGTCTCTGAACCTCGCCCAGAAATCCCTGCAAGTCATAGCATCAAGAACTGCATCCTCACCAATGGCATGTCCAACCTACTCCCACCAGTCACACGCCTTGTCCTTCAGATGACAAGATGTCAGTCGAACCATGTCCCCCTCGGGACATACGTTGGTGTGGAATGCGTTGGTGACATCCTCCAACCATCTAATGCTCACAATGGGGTCCCGAACCCCATGATAGTCGGGAGCTCCACAAGCTCTGAACTCCCTGAAAATTAGTGTGCGTGGCCCTATCATGGTCGCCACCTCAGTGTGAAAAGCACTCAACCTCTCATCCAAAATCTCAAGAATACCCTCCTTGATCACGAATATCTCAGGAGTCTTATCCAAGATACAGTGTGTGATCTTAGTCGAGATGAATTCCCTATTCTGGTTGTCTAGCTGCTCGACTCCTAAGCCTGAGCTTGATCCCTCACCGACGCCTGAGCTCTCGACTGGTCTGTTGCGTAAAATCGCCCTTCTAAAATCCCATCATAACAAACATCAGAATACTAATCAATTCTCGATGGATCATACTGATGGGTTTTGGTCATAAGACATCCTATGTGCTCATACAAACCCTAATGCTTGGATCTAGGTTTCTCTATTGTACATGCAAGTTATCAAAGACTATAAACCCTAATTCTAGCATACAAGTAATCATATTAACATGTAATTAGGATTAAGATCATACCTTGATTGTTATGTAGCAATAACAATCTCAATTCCTCCTTGTATTGACTTTGGAAGGCTTAGAGTCACAAGTGTCACTCCTCTAATGGCTTACAAACACCATAAGCAAGTGGAGAAGGTATAAAGAGAGAGGTGAGAGGTTAGAATTCATATCTAGGACCTCTTGGGAAGGGATACACGAATTCATGACCCAAGGGGTGTTTATATAGGTGTAGAGATAGGGTTTCAGTCATTATCCTTATCTAGTTGATTATCCATTAAGCAACCAATAAGATAATCCTTGAATCCTTATCATACTCGAATTCTAAGGCTTTCCAACCTTAAATTCATCCACCATATAAATAAGATAATCCTTACCTTATTTTGTAACTATCACATAATTACAAATCAGCCCCTCTAGTTTAATTAATTACATTTGATCACAAAACTAATTCTTAATTAATTATTAACCAATATTAATTAAACAAATATGATTTCTCCTTTAATATATTATTCTTATAACATATTAATAAATCATATTATCCTCTCTCTCTTTATTCATTTCTCCAATCAAGTTGCTTTGGTGAAGACAACCCAAAAGGACCATGCACCATCGGGTCAAGTACATACCAAAATAGTTATGGACTTAGACACTAATCCAACACATACACACTACAATTTCCTTGGATTCATCTTCGCCTTCCTTGACTCGAGTACGAATTCTCTCCTTTCAGTAGTATGGGCCCATACTACCTTCCATATGTATCCGCACTTTCCTCAAGAACAGCCTTGACTCCACGAAGTCCCTTATATACTACTGCTTCAAGCATTACTCTCATCCTAGGCTTGCCCTAAGGTAATCACCATCCTACTCTCCGTCATCAGCCATATAAGAATTCCCTGCTTTCTTCCCCTAACTAAGTCGCGAATACTATTACATATCACTCATACTAGATAATTCTTCGAATGATAGATCCTACCCTAGATCGGTTGCATTCAAAAAAGATCCACAAAATAGAGCTAGACCTAACCTTCTAAAATTATTTAGTCCTCGCAATATGTAACTTAACATATTCGTTTACTAGTTAGTAAATGACAACTAGAACTCCTAAAAGGATAAACCAAGCAACATTCGAGCATTGAGTACACATAATCAAGCATATTCTAATCAGGCCATCAAACTGAGTAATCTATACTAGCATGGAGTTCATAAAGCTGATACATATATAAAAGGAACATAAGGCATCCTTCCTAGATCCTTGGCCCTAATCTATCATGCTGATCACACAAATATATCATATAAAAAATTTTGTATGGGTAGTTTGGGAGTACTTACTTGAGCTTGGCAGATTGCATGCACCATACCCTTTTCTTTCTTTTAAAATTCTTTTTGGTTTTTCTAAAACTCTTTTCATTTCTCAAAATCCTGTTATAGAAATGGTTTTCTTTTGAAAATTTCTATACCAATTCCTTAGTTTCAGTTCAGACATACCAAAAAGTATGCTCGAGTCCCTAAAACCAAGGCTCTGATACAAATTTAAAACAAAGCAAAAATATTGTCCAAAAATTTCATTTTAAATTATTAAAGAAAAACCTGTAACTCATAAAACAACATAATAAAATCACATGTTGTGTATCTCAAACATCATCTCATAATACTGTATCAAATTCATGTATCAAAATATCAAATTCTAAAATATACCAAGCTAAAAATTATGGTGTGTGCCATGCAGTGATCCCAAGCTCTTCCCCTTGCTACCTGAAGTACTCGAACCAAAACTGAAAACTGTAAACATGAAGCTTAGTGAGCTCCCCCAAACTACTACATATCATACATATAACATGCAACTAGGAGATATGGGCCCTACCCACATTCCGATATCTAGGATATTCGGGCCCCGCCCACACTCTGCTGTCTGGGAGATTCAGGCCACACTCACACGTTGCTGCTAACATGCATACAAGTATCATACAGACAACAAGTATATCTATCAAACAATCACATAACTATACTCATATAATGCTATGAGATACGGGCCCCACCCACACTCTATTACTGGTCATACACATAACATATACGAGTAGGCCGTGGTGCCTTTGACCCGTTCTACTAGAGGAAATCTCAACTCTCAAACTGGTTGTTGAACTTGTGCGTAACGAATCTCTGTTGGCTGCTCCCACGACTTCACGACTATCATTATACAATAATACTTAGTCAAAAGTCTAACATTCTTTATTAGGGTAAAATGATCGATAGGCCACTGGTGAAAATCAAAGTCAAAGTCAACTCCCAGTCGACTTAACTCGTCGAGTTCCTATGCCATTCAGCCTCGTAATAAACCAAGCCAACCCGTCGAGTCCCTTCACAGACTCGTCGAGTTCTATCTTCTGCAGGATCGGGACAAAATGACTCGACTCGTCGAGTTGGTCTCTCAACACACCGAGTTCGACAAACCAGGACATACCGAAATCTCGTCTCAACTCGATGAGTTCTTTCACAACTCGTTGAGTTCTTCCTATCATAACATTGGGAAACTTCTAGGCAACTCATGGAGTACCTCCTTGAACTCGACGAATTCCTCAGTCTTCTTTACTTAAAATCGTTGACAAACTCCCTAAGTCATCTCCTACACTCAATGGATTGGTTCAAAGTCATACAAGAGGAGTGTTACAATCCGACTCGTCGAGTTGGGTATCTAAGTTGCCGAGTCACCTAAATCCCCAAACACAATCCATCGATTCAAATAGATTCTAATTCCACAAACTCACAGATCTGGACTTGTTAGGCCAACATAACACATAAAGTTGCTAACTTTACGTGCATGCACGGTGTTATGAAGCACAAACACCAAAACTAAGCTAAAATGGAGACCTAGTGCATGGAATAGGGATATGGTCTGAAGTCCTAAGTCCAGTAAAACCCCAAAACTCGGAAATAGCCTTGGAAATGGCCAAAACTGACAACAAGCAAGTTAAATGAAGATCTAGGTGAAAAGGAGCCAAAGTATAAACTTTATATCACTAACAAGTTTGAAATGTAACCCAAGCTCTAGATCTTCTACCTTCTACTTCGATCTTCTAGCCTTTCCTTTCTCCTTGTAGCTTCAACTCACAAAATGGCAAGAAAAATAGCTCAATAACACACAAGCTTGACTATGGTGTCGAATGTAGGGTGTGGAGGTGATGGAGGCTTGGGTGAAGGTCGAATAAAGTGCTTAATTAGGGTGCAAAATCCCAAAATTATGGTTTCACAATGGGCGAGCTACTCACCGAGTCAGGGATCTCCACTTGCCGAATTGATAGCTTAAACCCTGTACATAGTCTGCGCTATACTTATTGAGCTAGGGCCACCAACTCGTCAAGTCCTTCTTTCAAAATAAAAAAATAATTAAATTAATTGTGTACGAGGAAACCTGGCGTTACACATGGGCTGACTGATTGCATAAGAAAGATACCTTCGACTTTCCCTAATGGAAATGACCCTTCTTTCGCACCTGAAACATACAAACACATGCCCATGAAAAATACCCTAATAAATCTGATCACACTCCCTGTATAGCATGTGGGTCGGTCAAACTCATCCAAGAAAACACGTCACCCAAGCCTTCTTGGTTGTTGCTTCAGTTGTTTGAACTAGATCATGTTTTCTCTGTCGTTGTTGGGTCTCCAACTCCAACTCTCTTTCCCTGGCTGTCTCCACCAAATTGATAAGAGTCTTATAACTTGAGATACTCATATGCTCCTGGATCTCATCCCTCAACATGTCATGCTAGCGAGTCATCCTCATCTCCTCTGAATTTGCATACTGAAGACGAAACATTCCTCTCTCTCTCTCTCTCTCTCTCTCTCTCTCTATAAATTGGCAGTGATCTCAACTACTGACTCTGTACTATGCTCAAGTGTCCAAAACTCTTTTGCCACTTGTTGAACTTTACATGTTCGTTGTATAAGCCGATATGGGACTTCTCAGAAGTTAAGAGGAAAAGAAACGAGCAACCACTAGTATAGATGATGAAAATTGCGGTGCTTTCATCTGTGCATTAATGTGTGATGAGACCCCATCTGTTAAAATAAAACAAAAACATCTACAACAAAATTCGTAAGGAAGACATTACACCCAATGGCTCATCGCTGTTAACCAGGTGATCAAGCTGCAACTTATGTTGAGATTACACATATCTAATATATATATATATATATATATATATATATATATATATATATATATATATATATATATATATATACTCTAAGACCAAAAAAATGGAGTAGTTGCATAGGACCTATCAAGACTAGGTTGTATTTTTTTTTTTTAAACTAGCTGAACGAACATGAATATGGGCTTATTTGTGTTGGTTTATGATACTTAATGAATTGAAAGAACACAAACGGATAAACAAACGGGTTTTTTTTTGTTCATGTTTCTTCATTTAACAAATTACATTGTTAAACGAATATAAATAATTTTAAACGAACAAACATAAACGTAATAAAGAAATTAGACATAAATGAATATAAACAAACGTAAGTGAACAATATCAACGTAGTTTTATGAACATAAATGAACGAACAATATCATTGTTCATGTACGTTTGTTTAACTAAAAAAACAATATTTTTTGTTAATGTTCATTCATTTATTAAATAAAAGAAATTTCCGCCGAACAGTTCCCGGAACGTTCAATTCATTTACAGCTTTAACCGAGTGAGTGTGTAGGTCCCCGTTGTAACATATCAAAGAGATTTGCATTTTCCAATAAAAACATATAAAATAAAGTAGATATCAATTAAAAACTTTAAACAGATCAATAAGCTACCTCGTATTTAAATATTGCTTTTGTTACCTCGTATCTGTAAGTCGCCATTGTTTATTTAAAAAAACACGAGTTGTTGACTATAGACACCGAGATATATTTAAATATTACTTGTGTTGAATATTTATCTAGAAAGAGTTTGCAAGCCGTCATTGTGTCTTGTACCTTGATTCCCAAGATCATATCCCTAATTTTGTGTATACACCATAAGGGAATCAGAGAGAGTAAAAAACCTCCAATCTATACAGTATGCAGGCCATAAACGCAGTACATGTGATACGAATGGTGACGAGTACCATTAGCAATTCGTTGTTAGCAGCAGAGATTGAATTCGGATCTAGGATGTTCTACGTTTACTTTGGCATCTCGTGTTTTCTAGTTATCTTTGCCGGAATCATGTCCGGCCTTACCTCAGGATTGATGTCTGTTGGTGTCGTCGAGCTTGAAATCCTCCAGCGCAGTGGCACTCCGATCGAGAAAAAACAAGCAGGTTTTTGATCTATTACTTCGCACTTAAGTCTTCAACTTCTTTGTCTATTTAACGTGATCGACGCCTATTTTTAATTTATGGTTTCCTTGTTTCAATTTCTTAACGCTATTTTTGAGTTTACAACTCTACTTGGGGATCCAATTTGTATACGGATTCAATTTAAAATGTAAAAGAAGGTTTTGACTAGGATTAATCTCTATGGTTCTATTCAAATATGATTTGATGTATCTGACCATTTTCAATTTAAGTCAATGACTTCTAGTCGAGAAGAGAAGCATCTACATTTTAAAAAAAAAAAAAATTAGCATCCATGATCTTTTTTTTAGATTGCCAAAAATCTAAAACCTACCTCCTCACACGACAATGGTATTCATTATATTGACATCTCATCTTGGCTTTATGCAACATTATTTGCTTCAGCTATCATTTTTCCAGTGGTTCAGAAAGAGCACCAACTTCTTGTAACGTTGCTTTTATGCAATGCAGCTTCCATGGAGGTAGTCATACATTTAAATAATTAGTATATAATATGCATAATGTTTTTTCTTAAAGTTTGTTATTAACTAGTGCTCTATTTTTCACAACATCCTTATTGATGTACATCGTTTCAGGCGCTGCCAATATATTTGGACAAGATTTTCAATCAAGTTGTTGCAATAGTTCTTTCGGTAACTTTTGTCTTGTTTTTTGGTGAGGTAAGTATTGTTGCAATATAACAATTTATCGTGTTTTTTTTTTTTTATTTTTATTTTTTTTTTTTTTTATTTTATTCCTCATGAATCATTTATATGTATAATTTTTTTGTACCATTTATTTTTCACTGATTTGATAGGTGATTCCACAAGCAGTGTGTACCAGATATAGATACGGCTTGGCTATAGGTTCTAGTTTTATTTGGCTTGTGCGTATTTTGATGATAATTTGCTATCCTATTGCTTACCCTATAAGCAAGGTAAATTTTACTATAGGAGATTTAGGATTATTTATGTCTTCACTAGTTTATAACCATTGGAAATGATAGTTACAAAATTAATTAAATTTTTATAATAAACACTGGAATTATTAATCAGTCATTTTAAATAAATTGACATAAATAAATTATTAATTAAAAGACTTTTTTACTTATATAAAATTATAATCATTGATTTAAATAAATATGTGAAATCATATAACTTTATAATTTGTATTAATTTTATTTTAACTTTTACTATAATGTTATTAATTCAAATAAATTAAATTGAGAAATTTAAAATTTGAAATTTGAAATGAAAAATCAATAATTTGACAAGTGACATGCACTAATTAGAAGACATAATAGGGTGAAACATGTCAAAAAAGAATAAACTATATATTAATTAAGTGACATAACAGGGTGATACATGTCAAAGAGAGAATAAAATTATTCTTTTATTAAAATAAGGAGATTATGGCTTCCTACTTTCGTTTCTCCCTGTTAAAGCAATGTAGTTTGAAAAATGTAGCCGATTTGGGTACATCTATGTCTTCATAAGAATTAAATTGGAAGTAGAATGTTTTAGTAAAGAATAACCAATAAAATTCTTCCATAATGTCATGTAACCAACCGCTCTCCTCAAAAAACTTCTTAAAAAACCGTTTTTCTCATATTTCCTATTTTGCCCTTTTAGAATATATACATGTAGTAACCTTGGTTAGCATGCTTGGTTAGGCACATGCTAGACCAAAATCAGATACATTCTAATTTTATTAAATTAATGCAACTTATGTTTTATAGTGTTTTATGATTTCAGATTCTTGATTTTGTATTGGGTCATAATGATGCTTTGTTTAGAAGATCTCACTTGAAAGCCCTTGTTTCCATCCACGCCCAGGAGGTTATTTCTAAACTTCTAAGCATGTAGCATTTAAAATTATTATTATTATTATTATTATTATTATTATTATTATTACTGTTATTATTATTATTATTATTATTATTATTATTATTATTATTATTATTATTATTATTATTTATGAAACTAAGTGATGAAATTAATAGTTTGACATTTTGATTTGTAGGCAGGTAAAGGAGGTGAACTCACACATGATGAGACCACAATTATCAGTGGAGCACTTGATTTAACTGAAAAGGTATCAAATAAAATAATCTTGTAATTTATAACTTAGTTTGATTGTTTATTATTGATTGTTGATTGTTGTTTGGTACAAAATACACTATCTGGATTATGATGCAGTTATATTCGTTTTTAACATGACATAAGATGATGATTCTTGTTCAATGTTTTATTGTTATCTTTCATGTGAATTTCCATGCATTTGATTTTTCTTTTCTTCACTTTGTTTTCAATGATGGAGAATTTCTCAAGCTAATCGTTGATTTATCTGTTCAGACTGTAGAGCAGGCTATGACACCAATCGAATCAACTTTTTCCTTGGATGTGAATTCAAACTTAGATTTGTGAGTATTGTTCATGTACATGCTTATATTTGTTTCTTATCCATTATCATTTGGTCTTCTTTTGACAATTGTTAAGCTTGCACTAAAAGGTCTGACTAATTTTTCTTTTCAATATGTCAGGGAAGCAATGAAAAAGATTCTTGCAAAAGGTCATAGTAGAGTTCCTGTATACTCTGGAAACCCAAGAAATGTTATTGGGCTTCTATTGGTAACTCATCACTCTAGTTTAATTATGGCTTATAAAATCTATCAAACTACCGTCATGTCATTTCTATACAAAACAACTTTCACTGCTATGTTAGGTAGATTTTACAAAGACTTAGTGTCCTAATAAGAGTGATACTATACTACATGGACTTTTGAAAGTATATGTTTTTATAAGCATGGAAAATATAAAAGTATAATGTTGTTAATAGATATAATAGAATGTTAGGTGCGTCTCCTAATTTCATCCTTGTTGAAATGTAGGTTAAAAGTCTTCTTACTATTCAAGCAGAAACTGAGACTCCAGTAAGTGCGGTTTCCCTTAGAAGAATTCCAAGGTTTGCTGTTTTTCTCTTTAATTTCTTTACTATCTTAGAAAGAAACATGGGCTAAATGCAAGAAAAAACAATGAACATTCATTTATTTATGTATCAAAGCATCTTGCTTTCATTCCTTTGAATTTTAGTATTGTATTTTTAAACTTCACCTCACTATAGCATTGTATATATTTATCAAACAATGAATCACGATATATATATATTTTTCATAGGTTTCCATCTGACATGCCACTATATGACATATTGAATGAGTTCCAAAAGGGAGGTAGTCATATGGCAACTGTTGTTAAAACTAAAGGGAAAAACCAAAAACATGTGACACTTGAAGACGAATCAAAAAAGAATGACAATGTAACAACTGATGTGGAACCAAGAGTTTTTGTTGAGGAAGGGGATACTTCAATAAGTGGAGTGCCTTATTTAACTGAGGACACTGACGAAGGTGAAGTGATTGGTATAATCACTTTAGAAGATGTATTCGAGGAACTTCTTCAGGTTCTTTTTGTTCCATGTGTATCGTGTTTCTAAAACAAATTTAAGAAGGGTTAAATGCAAAAAGTTGCAACGTACTTTTTTTTTTTTTTTTCCGGTAAAACAACCTTTTAATACGTTAGTGAAGGTAAGATTACTTAAATATTTACTTCCATTTCTTCCCATTACAACTATTATAGCAATGTCAGCGAAGTATGATCCATATACTGGTGTAGTAATAAGGAAAAAAGGAAACGTAAAATGCTACAGTTGGGTAGATTTTTTAAAGTACAATGCCATGATAAGAAAGAAGTCAAAACTATAATGTTGTAAAGGAAACACTTTACTATTTCTTGCATTTAGCCTACTTTAAAATATCGACCCTCTTCAATACTCCCAAAAGTATCATGATCTACATGCTTTTTAAATTTTAAAAAGATGATAATTTTTTCTATAAATGCAGGAGGAGATTGTAGATGAGACTGATGAATTTGTTGATGTGCATAAAGGGTACATTAAATTTATAGAATTATTCTGTTTTATATAACAAAAAAGAAATAATATTTGCTTTCCATAGGATACGTGTAGCAGCAGCTGCGGCTGCTTCAAATGTAACATGCACTGCAACATTTCGGAGATCATCTACTATTGCTGTAAGAAATCATTTTCTTTGCTATAATATAAAATTATTCCTTTTCACCAAAAGTAACAATACTAAGGGTTATTTTCAAGAAATAACAATCTACTTTCATTGATTTGTCATTTGTTTATTGTAGCATCATACTTCTTCTTCTTTTTTTTTTTTTTTTTTTTTTTTTTTTTTTTTTTTTTCAAAATACACATTACATTGATTTTTTCCTTTGTCACATCTAACTATGACATATCTATAATTGGGTCGAATTTTCAAAGCATAATATTTTATAATTATTTTAAGTATTATAATTGGGACTATTTTTCATAGTATAATGCCTTAATATGACAATTTAGAACTAGAATCTTGTAATAGATTGAAATGAAAATAGAATGCTATAATAAACAATCAGTGGAAGTACATTTACGTTTCTTAAATTTAGACCTAATTTTTTTTGCTATACATACATTCTTATATATTCTTATCGTTGATTTAACTCAAATTTGCTGATACTATTCTTTTTAAATACATCAGGGAACCCAAAATAAGCAAGGGAAAACTCCAAGGACCCCCAGTGAGGGTGATTCAACTTCATCAAAGTTTGAACGAGCTCTCGTGGAGCCTTTGCTTGAAAAAGAGACATAAAATGGCCAATTTCTCAACCCTCTTAACAAACAGTTCTAGTGTGTGTGTGGAAGTATTTATTTATAGGCTTAATGTTACTGTTGCCCAACCAAATATTTGTTGTTGTCTGTTTTCGTGTGTGTGTGTGTATGTATTCTTTGGCACTAAACTTCTTGTTATCTACTTGATTGTATCATTTGTTTGGGGTGTAGGCGCACAAGCTAAATTGGCATCCTATGTGGTAGATTAGACACACCTTAAGATTATATGGCAAGGCATGGCCTCCATAGTATAGTAAGAAGACTCACTTGATTCACAAAGATAGTTAAACCACAACCCAATGCCATTCAACAGATGCTACAACACACCTTTCAAATCAGATAACGTCCAAACTTAGTCTATACCCTAAATTCAACAACATAACCAAAAGTAAACCATGCCAAAAAGTCAAAGGGAAAAAGTTAAATTCAACAGTCAACACTGCCAATAGTTGAACCTCACGTTGTGACCAACCCTTTGTCACACCATAAGTACGTACTCAACCGAATTCCCTTGGTTACGCGTTAACTCAGCCAACTCGATTATGAACGAGTTAATCAGCAGACGTCATGGCATAAGCCCTCATTGTTCATGTCGTCAACTCATCAGGACAAGATAATCGTGGAATATTCTACCATCACATTGTCACATTTCCTAAGTCACGTCCTATCCATAGTTTGAAAAAACCACTTAATGGTTTGAATCATTAATCAATTAGGTCTTCAACTCTAACTTTTCAGAAAGCTTTGAGGGATTTCAAATGTTCATAAAAATGACAACATTATGGACATGCATACTCCATACATATCCTCTACCCAACCTAGGTCAAATGTCAAGAAAATGACCTAAAAATCCTATAAGGTTCACAATTCACATCAATTCCTAGATCTAAAATACATAATGCTCTAAGGACTTTATAAGACTATAAATTTGTCAACTTTATTCCATATATTCACTCAAATCAAAACTATGAGTCAAAAAGGTAGAAGCTTGAATCCTTAAAAATGGCCCAGAAGGTGATATCAAAGATGGGAAGGTGTTGCTTGCATGATTCTTGCACCAATTCTTCATTTACTTAGTTCAAAGAGAAACAAAACCACCAAAATGAGTAAAAACCAGCAAGACGGATTAGGGTTAGGGTTTATGAGGTTTGAGAGAGACGAGGGCTGATAAATGAACCCTAAATTTGAGTTTATGGGGTTTAATTACGAAGGAAACCTAATTTGTAACCTCCTTGGTAGTTTAATTCTTGATCATTAAGTGTTTTAATGGTGTCCCTAACTTGTCCTCAAGTTATTGAAAACCAAAGGTCACACATTAATTAAAAATCACTATAAGAACACACGAGTTATAAAAATGAAGAGTCTTCATTTTAATACTCAATTAACTCATAAGTTACGAGAAATGTATAGTTTTGAAAGATTTCAAAACTTGCCCTCAAGTTTTGGAACAAGTAAAGTCATATTAAAGCTTTAGTTTCAACCCTTAGAATTTTAATTATTAAAATTCAACCCCTATACTTTATAATATTATAAGTAATAATATATATATATATATATATATATATATATGTATGTATGTATGTATGTATGTATGTATGTATAAGAACAAAGTCTTCTTACCATTAGTAGGCCTCATCAATGAAGCAGGTCAATAAGGGGGTATAAGGTTGTTGCCTATAAAATGGAAACTTAATGGGTGTCCATTCTCACCCACCACTTCCTTGATCGGTGGATGGTCGTTAGCCGGAAAAGGTAGGACAAGGACTATAATTCTCATTTAAGTATGATGAATATACTAAAGTAACTAAACCCTTATTAAATTCCCAATCTTAGTTACTTTAGGAAAATGTGCATATGGTGCTAATCTGTGACAACCCAAAATTTTCTATCCTGTACAGTCAAACACTTCATAGAAAGTTAAACTCATTTCTGCTACCTTTTAGCACGTTTGGTGTTCATTTGAGCATTCTGAGCCTTAACCCTTCAAGAGGTTAACATAGGACGTATACTCCAGGGCATTTTATGCATCATAAAGTTCCAAAAAATCCAAGAGTTTGAAGTTTAAGGCCCAAATGGCATTTGGACCGTAAACTCCATGGACTATATGTATGGCACTTAGCCATTTTTCCTTCATTTCTCCCATTTCAACTAGAGAAAACCCGATTTCTCTCCAAAGGATCTTCAAGATTTCGTCCCAATTGTAAGTACTTCTATCCAAGAGTATATTAAGGCTTGTTATACTTCCTTACATGAAGAAATCACCCAAGAAACACCAAGAACAAGGTGTTTTACGGTCCAAGGTGTTCTTGGATCGTAAACCCTAAAATGGGTGCCAAAGTGTGCCCTAGTTCCCTATAAGCCTGTACAACTAGCATAGATCCTTTCCTTGATGAGTTTAGCACTTGAAAAACACTAAAAACCCCCATGAACATGAGTTTACGGTTTGGGAATCTCCCAAAAGCGCACCCCAAAGGGTGTTTTGATGCCCCTAACACCTTAGTAAGCCTTGGATATTAGCATAGAACCTTAAACCATTGAACTAAGGACTTCAATACACGAAATGGTACTTCTTACCATGAGTTTACGGCCGTAAACTCATGAGGAAGTGGTCCCTAGACCGTAAACACCATACAAGGCCATTCTTGGACCTTAAAC